CGTTCTGGATCTGATCACGAGAGCTCTCACAGAGGCACCAATAATATTTGACTTCTGCATGTCACCAACTCTGAACATTAAACATAGTTCACTGTCCCTTTGACACACTACAGCGTGTTTCGAAAAGAGCAGAGTCTGTGTCCTTTGTCTAGGTCGGGTTATCTTGGCGACCACTACACCTCCGAAAAAACCTTGAATCAATACACCAACTATGCTCTGAAGGCACATTATAAAGATAGCTTCCGGACATTCTTCTGTGGTTGTGCGTGCACCATAACCAATTGTATGTTGTGTTTCTATACTAAACAAAAAACAGGATGTATAATCGTATATACCCAAGACGCATGGATTCCACCCTGAGCTCTCCTGCATGGGTGGCAGATGATCTTCTTCAAAATCACCGTGTTTAAATGCTATTAGCAACCAGATAAGAGCAAATCCCAACCAGGACAAGGCAAAAGAAAGTGTGAATATCAATAAGTTCCACCGCCACTGGCAGTCTACGAGAGTTGTGAAGATGTCCTGTAGGAATCTTAGTCGATGTAGACGTATTTTCGATTGTAGAATATTACACTCGCCATTTTTAAGAACAGCTCGTCTCGTGTTTCTTCGTGTGTCGCCATATCGGTTTGAGAAATTCCTGCAATGAAGTATACGAAATAAGTTAGCGCGTCATGTCCGACAGATTTGAAATCGTGCAGTGTCAGTATGCTGCGTTCGTCAACATTCATAACGTGGTTAATGTGAACCACTCATAAGAAATAGCTGTACGTAAATTATTTTCTATTAGAATATGGAACAAACAAAGTTAGACAAATTATGAACAAAAGTAACACAGTACGCTTTGGATTTGACGATGGATGACACGCGATTTTGGGGCTCGTATCCTTTGTTCGTAACAGTGGGGCGGTACACGTCTGTGAAGAGGTTGTCGTTTGTGGTGACAATTTTGGTTTTAGGCCAGTCATCATGAAGGGGCTGGGCTTCCTCTGGGCAGGCGGGTGACTCGGGGTCGGTGCGCATAGTGCAGATCTGGTGGTCAGCGGCGTGCGTATGCTGCTTACTCAGCGGAGCATCTGATCGGCATCCACTGCGAGTCGTAAAACTCCTGAAGCACCACTTGCGGTAATGGTGTGATCACGACTATTCTCTGTGCTCAGCCCGAGACAAATACTTACTAAATATTGTATAATTGTATCGCGAGAATCAACTCGCCACGAAAAATGAATTTTAGTTAGTGCTTATGAGTATTCGCATACAGGTTGCATGGAAACGTGTCTCTGTTATAATAAATCTCTATTATAATACTTTTGAAATTAGTTCGTGGTAAATAAAACTATTTTTTCGGCTCTCAATCGCAAGTTTCCGACCCTGTACAGGTCTCATGGTCACGGCTGATTATCGTTCCTTGTCGTTAATATTCATTAACTTTTACTGCCAGCAACGCAACTGTTAACTTTTTCGGTTTGAACACAAAAAAAAAATACAAGCACAATATTTTGCTGTTTCGTAAAACATGTTTTAGAAATATACACCAATCTTTTTTAACTTTTTTATTACGGGCATTACAATATGGTTATTGTAATGCCCGTAATGCACTTTTTTAATATCTATTTCCACTTTATTGAATCTTAAAATTGAATTTAAATAACTCCAATAAATTGTGATAACTGTTTTGCAAATACTATTGTATCCATAGAATAGATACGATAAGGCCGAAGAACAAATTGAAAGCCCACCATATTATAAAAAAGTTTTATGTACAGCCAGTATATTTATAATGGCGGCCACCCCGATTCACCGAACAGAAGGCTAATTTGAACGGCCGCGAATTGCCCGCTAATGTTATTCTTCAGCTCCTAATTTGATGCTCTCGATCATTTTGAAACGAAGGTCACATTCTTGGAGAATACGTTTTTGACAACAAGTAATGTGTTTGTATATAAATGCCGTATTAGATTTTTAGTGCAATCATAAGATTTTAGTAGCAGTAGAGCTACTTGTGAAAGAGTTCGTCCAAGGAAATACTGCCACCTTACCTACTTCTGCCGTCAAGCAGTAATGTGACCATTACTGCGTTTCGGTTTTGAAGGGTAAGGGTGCTGGTGAAATTACAGGCACAAGGGACTTGTTAACTTATGTTTCAGGGTCACCTCAGATCTCTGCAATTAAAATTGTTGCAAATTAAAATTAAATAAAAACCTATTAGACATTTGAAGGCATTAACTTGTTGTAATTAACGTTATTATTATTTCAAGACGGAATACATGTAGAATGTTCAGAAAAAATATTTTTATTAGTATTCGACTCTATATCACTTATAATAGCAACGGTTAAAACTACACATTGTAAATCTGAGTGTAAGTTTAAGAAAATATGTGATGCATAAATATTAGTAACGGCAAGTGCTACGTCTTCTTCTTATCGTATCGATGGCATGCACTATACTATAGTGCGTGCCACATGCATGATTCGATGTATAGTATAGTGACTATACTATTGTGGCCTTGAATTCCGCGTCACTAGAAGTTTTCATTTTATCCTCAAACGTGCAGGTGCATCGTTTGAATCGCACAGCACAAACAATCCAGATTAGAATCATCCGTAAATCCCCACCTGAATAAATATCTTTACTCCGTCCCACCTGAATCTGAAGCCTTTTTTAAAGACAACCAGATTGGCCATGACAATCCGTGTCCAGGAGGAAGACTCTCAGATGGCCAGACAAAGGTTGCACCTCGTCTGAGCTGACTCAACGCTCAGAGGATAGACACATTTGACGAAACTCTTCCGGCTTCTCAGCCTGTAATAATACTCTGTAATAAAGTATCTTGTAATATTTACGTAATATACTATTGGATAAAACATTAGCTGTTTTCCTGTACTAGAAACCTTTTAAGTAGGGTAAGTGAAACATTATTTAAAAATGGAATTAAATGTATTTCTTCCAAGTTTAATACATAGTATATATAATAACAATAAATTAATATTGTTATATCAATTAGCACAGTAGCCTGTTCACAATTTAGCCCAATAATATTTATTAAAATATCTATTACTGATATGTAATCGTTTTGTATAACTATCACGCGACACGACAGCCCTGTGCGAACAGCAATATGTACTAATAAAATGGAATAGTCAAATATTCGATTGTATTCTAAATTATTAACGTACAAAATAACCGTAGGTATCACATTTTTTTTATTTAGAGAAGATAAGCAAATGATATTAAATAAAAAATTATAAGATGATTATACTAGAAGTAAATAAATACCTAGTGATCTAACTGCACAAATTAGTTCAACTACTTGATACTAGATGGCGATAATGTGTAAGTTACGTTTACTCTTCGTGGGAAAATTATTACGCATTATAGTTATTATGTAGACACCTAATAAAAAGATAAGTAAAAGCTAAGAAAACTAAAACTAAAGAATTTCCAATAAAGTTTAAGAATCAAATTTCTTTGAATTTCTTTTACTTTTCTTCTTTTGTTTTTCGTCTTCACTAGATGAAGAAGAAGGTTCTTCGTGAGTATTGAAGAATCCGGACGGGTACTTTACTATGGAAGGCCGATGTGTTAGACTGGCACGTCGGATGGCGTCGGCGACTAATCGGTCCGACAATCGTATCAGAGGAGATACCGGGACGCTATCAGTCGCCGCCGGACTACTGAGGTTCCGGAACATAACGTCTTCATCTGGTGCCGACGAACCGATTTGAGAACCAATTTGAGAACCAATTGCCATGTAACCTGAAATTTTTTATTTAAATCAAACAAATGTTTCCTGTACTCTTTGATATATCTTTTTCAGCCACAGTACTGAGGCAACAAGAAGTTTTTATTAGACATTAAGTTGAAATATGCAAGTAAGGTACAATAAAAACTTAAATACTAGAAACTAAAACTAGGCTTAAATTATATGAACAAAAATTGGGTCCCCGCGACAAGATGCCCAAGATGTTGGCAGCGTTCCCCATTTCTATGGCTACGCTAATACGCTGAGCTACTTGGGTTTTCCAGACAGTCTATTAATTTTTTAGACAAAATTTTCGTGCAGATGAAGGGTAGCGGGACCCCACGGGCCAAGAGTTTGGGGTCCCAAAGGCTGTAAATATGTAGTCGGTGCCGAGGTCCTAATACTTATTACTTTTTATTCTTTCCGCCAGCTCAGCTGCGGAGCCAGCCCTCTTGCTGGTGCGCTGGAGATGGAATGGAGCAAGTGTGACGGCACACGTGGCGTCCCACACCAGTGCCCGGCCCATACTCCAAGGGATGAGAGTCATTTCGTCCGGGCGAACATCGTCAGTTCGCAAGAAGTAATTATACCTACTCAGGAATAACTACTTAAACAATAAGAAACAGTACTCGTAGAAATACGATTTTACAACAACTTTTCTGCAACTGTAAAAATTGTAGCTACGACCAAGGTAAATAAATACTTAGCTACATAATTATGCGCAAAAGATATTATAACGATTACAGAAAGTGAACGCTTCACGAGAGCAAAAATAATATCCACATTAAATTGAATAGTCAATTCAGTACTTACCTTCTTAATCTTATAAATAGGACACCACAAAAGCACCAACTCCGTTTAGCACAAATTTCAATAAACCATATACCAAAAGACATCATATAGCTTTTAGTTGAGCCAACACCGATTTACATGAAGATAAATGATTATACACAATACTTTTTGTTTCACATTACCGTGTATTTACGTGGATAAGTATACGTATTTACCTATACCGTATCAAATTATTGTTTTTAGAAAATATCAATTTAAAACCATGAATAAACGACCTGATATAAACTACAAATTTGATTATAGAATTCAAGCAGTTTGAATATACCTACTGATTGCGTCCTTTAGAATATTTTTTGATACGTAAAATAATGAGATATTACTTAATTACTTGCAACATCCATGCGAAACCAACAGACGATAGACCAATGGGAAAAAAATGAAACACAAATCAACGTCACAACATGAATTATTCATTCAAATATTTACTTATATCAATTATTTCCATAGTTCTTACGACTAAATCGTCCGATTTATGGCGGTTACAACAAATATATTTAAGGTTCAATGTTGAGAATTTTGTGACTCATATTCTTATTCACTACGTTTACCAGTTCGGGAAACTATACTACTTATTTTATACATTTTGAACGCCACAATTCTATTTTGAAATCCCAAACATAAACAACACTGCTCAAGTTGAAAAAGGGCGGTTTTTGCTTTAGAACTATTTAATAAAAATAATATAACCAACACTCATTTATTGTCCATTCTGTAGTTGAGATGTAAAGAACCATAAGTGCCAAATAGTAATTTTTGGTACAGAGCGTTTTAAAGATAATTATATATATATATAAGCTCTCAATTAGGCATTTAAAATCATCATAAGGTGAAATATAGTACGTTAAATAGAAACACAAACGACGATAGGATTTAATGTCTTTTACACACAACGGTAAAAGACATTAAATGATTTTTAGCATCCGAAAACATTGTTTGTAAAAACATCTGAATTCCATTATATGCACTTAAGATCCTTTACTTCTCTCACTTACAGCATTAATAGATCACCAACAACGCTTAAAAAATCATGTATGTATATACAATCCTTCATGTGCGTCCTTTCCGAAAACGGCAACATGAGTATCATTGCTGGCAGGGTCCAGGACTTTTCCCTTGAACACTGGACCAAACTTCATGTGTTAGGTACACATGAAGTTTGAAGTTTGAAGTTTAGTACATATGTACAGTAATTTCAAGAAATTTTTATTTTATTTTTATTTGACGTCGATGTATATAGACAATATTTCTTGCATATTTTTTACAGGTACTATTTTATTTTATATAAATTATTGTTGTTTATATTAGTGACGATCATAGGATCCCTTGACATTGTATTTTAAATTGTAATATTGTGTCATTGATAATATGAAATAAAAGGTAGCATTCTTCTAAAGGCGCCTTCAAAACGCCTTTGGAAGCGTTGCAGTGGTAAGGCGCGGCAGCCGCGTAATTTTTAGTTCACTAATTGTAACTCCAAAAATTAGTAGTGGAGCACCACAGCGATGACACTGCACCGCTTATATAAGCGTCTAATTTGAAGGCCCACATTAACTACCACAAGTGTGTAAGTTTTTCTTTGTTTTATTAACCAATATGGATGAATAATCTGAAATAAAATATTTGAATTGAATAATATATGCAGTTTTCTACTCTCCTTACTTGAGCGGTGTTGTTTGCTATTCGTGTGACGTACGCGAATAATTAGTTGTACTTTAGTTTGCCAATTTCAGACCTCGTCTGAAGTAATTGGTTAAAAAAGTACTGTACAGTGTAGAACCTTTCAGAATGACTAATTTATAATATTACGTATTGTACTTGAGATTCTTAAATCAGATCTACAGTATTTTGTTGATTGACTAGTAGATTGGTAAAGTGGGTTCTTTTAAAATAAATAAATAAATAAACGAAATGCGCTAATATGTCGCTCATTTTGCAAAAGATGATTTATTTGTTTCATCTTTTGCTTAAATAATTAAAATAACTAAGAAACGAAATCATCGTAGCTATAGACTACATAATATGCGTTCTATATTTAGCGCCATTTTATTGTGATCCCCGTTTAAGAGGTGCAAAGCTACCCATGTATTTTTTACATTTTATAAATTATTTTTTCTAAAGAACCGTCGTCGATGACATTATCTATTCCATTCCGTTACAAAAAAAACCCAATTCGACCTGGCCTTATGTCAGTTGTCTTTCGACTTTTTATCGGTGTTACTATTCGTTGGCAATAAGTTAATTTACGATGTTACTGTTTTCAGGTTTTAAATATTCCATCGATTGTATAGTCCAAAGCACATTAAGCATGACACCTTGGAATTTAGACCGCTCTTAATTTAAATCTTGAATGCCAAGTTTGACGTAGGTACTCCTGTTTAAAACAAACGCATTTCTCGAATAATTACACTGAAAAATCATAACGTATCGTCATTCTGTCTTATCATTACTGGAACTATTCATTATGGCAGAGTTTTTTTCGTGGTCATAGACAGTTTAGTTTCAAGAATAATCTATAGAGTGACAGTGTAATCTCCATCCCTGTGTTCGGCCTTGGGTTGCGTGGTGGGTGGACGCTCCTGCAGCTTCGTCTGCGTATGCTCACCGCTCTCTGTGACACATCACAACACAGGACATCACACATACGTCACACAACAAATACAATTTCCTACAATAGCGGAATAAGTTAAGGGGTCCCGGTATCTTCAATTCACGGTGGTTAATCCTAATTTCGGTGGCAATTTTTATTATTCAAATATTCAAGAATATTATCATGAAGTATTATTTAATATTCTAGATTAATATCCTGAAATGTTATTTAATATTTCACGGTGATATATTTGAATACTTAGATAATAAAATTTGCCACCGACACTAGGTAGCGTAAACTTACTGGAAAATTACGCAGTCCCTTAGCTCATTTCCTATTATACATGAACATGTACATTTTCATCTCACACAAACAGTATATATGACCTATAATTCATTCACTTTAAGAATGCAATAAGAGAGGCCTCTACCCGCCAGTAGATAAAGACGAGCTACGGATGCCATGACGTTATTGTCACTTGAAACAATCTGCCGAGAGAAATATTTGTATGGCCTACATTTATTTCTCTCAGGAGTTTGGATGTAATTTATGGTTGTCTATGTGCGTGTCCATGGTACCCGCGATACAGAGTGGGCCAATGAGGGTGTAAAAAAAAATTGAAATTCAAATTGTTCTGGCTTTAAACACTGGAGACAAATTAAGTATTTAGACTGCATTCTTAATGTGTATAAACTATAATACAAGACCTTAGGCATTCGAAAACAATTGACAAATTGTAAAATAGCCTCAGACCCAAATGACATATTTTGTACACTTATGTCGAACATGTGTAAGTAGTACAAATCAACCTGTTTAAGTTAGTATAAAATTATATTTTACGATCTTTAGTACGTCATTTTCATAATAATTATTACATGCTTTTACATGAAAGACGCCCATAGTAGTTGAACAAAGTTACATACAACCTAATTTATAGAAGAACTTTCTTGACTTATAAATGCTATCTTCTTAGTTCTTAAGTGCACTTAATGTGTATATTTATTTCTATATTGTTATTTTAATGCGATTGAAACAATATTGCTAACAGTGACGAACAAAAACAAGTAAACATACTCCCAATCAATCTTCTTCATATCAGTATAACCTTAACGATGCTATTAAAAACCGCCATATCTCTGCATTAGTATGTTAATTTATACATAAGAGTTAATTAGTAAGATATTTGAGTCTAATAAGTAGAGAAAATTTCTCGATTAAGTTTAAGATTTAGTATACTGTACCACGTAAATAGAATTTTAAGTAAAGCAGTGTTATTTATTGAATACAAAGATCGAACACAAAGAAAAATTCCTTCGTACACGTCGAGTCAGCAGGACGTCCAAATTTCTTAAATGTGTCTGTTGTACCTAGATCTTTGTTTAAGTTTCTTCGGCTTTCAATTTAAAAGTGGTAAAATATCGTGAAATTCAATGTAAAAAAATCAATAAAGCAGTGTTATTACGTAATTCTAAGGAAAACGTAATAGAATATAAATAATTATTGTGAAATCAATAGCGAACAATTGTTTCTTGGAGTTAAATCTGGTATTGTGTTTGATTCTTATATAAAACGAATAACTAAGTAATAAACGCGGAAAATTGTCATTGAATTTTCCCTATATTGTTCTCAAACATCTTTACAACCGTTTGTAATGTTAATTTTACAAATTCTGAGATACAAGCCAGGCATAAATTAAATGAATTATTTCCAATTGTGTTCACTTTGTTTTTAGTCGTAGTTTGTAATAGAAAATATAATGTGCAATTAGTACAAATGTGTCGACATCATGTAAATATGACGGCGTTCCTCTTAAATCATTCACAGCAATATGTAGTTTTAGACGGAGGAGACAAATTATCTATTTGCTGACGTCAAGCAGGGGGAATGGTATTGTGAACGAAACTTACGTATATTGCATAAGAGGGATGGAATGATTATTCAATCGAACGAGTAAAAGGGGGCTTTATACTACTTACAATTGTTTGTGTGTAAGAAATAATATCTTCGAAGTTTTATTGATTTTTTTAAAAACATTGAGCAATTTCATGAAAACGTCGAAACAAACACACTATGTTTCGTTAAGACATGTTGTCAAAAGGTGACGAGGAAGATTAAATGGGGATTAAAATAGATTACGCCGTTTAAGTCTGACAAAGTTTAGATTAAGACAAGAATGCGCGTAAATTTTGGGCCATTTGAAATAAGTGTAAAATGACTCAAAACAGTTTTTGCTAAATCGATCATGACTACTTTCTATTACAATTCATGTCCAGGTAAGAAGACACTCCATCAATTAAACATTTTCATTGTACCAACTTTTAAAGTACCTAAGTAATGAGTATCAAAAAGTATTTGTGATGTATTTAACTAATATATATAATATCATTACTCGAATCTAGTGTTGCCCAATGCAAGACCAAAACGAGATTGAGCCGTCTTGGTCTCGCGTCAATACAGTCTTGGTATCGCACACTCGGTCAGTCTTGCTGCAAGAGTCTCACAAGTCTGGCAATTGCCTATTGCTACTTATCAAACTATCTCATTGTTTATTTTTATAAAAATTGACAATGAGGGTTAGCTCAGATTTTAAAATAACGCAACAGAGAAGGTACATTTTGATTACATATTAACACAGGTATAGTGAAGGCCACCCAAATGACGAAAACTCAACTTTACAATATTGTATAATATTTTACGATCATATTGGTTGGTTATAATTTTAGGCATACACGTTAAACCCGCGTATAAGGTTAATAAATAATGGGTACAAGGTATGAGTATGACCCGTTCCAAGAACCGGCTCGTTAGTTAGTCTTTCGATTGTCAGTTTGTTTTTGACAATTCACTAACTTCGACAGTGCTTTATCACAGCAGCAGGGTCAGTCTTGGTCTAGCTATAATTAGGGGATCTTAGTCTTATAAGAACTATTTTGGGCAATACTACTCGATTCGACTAATTCGAATTGTACCTTTATAGAAAAAAAATAGGTCGAGAAATTAAGGTTAACCGAATGACCTAATGATACCAGTCAAATCGTTGGTACAAATTCATATTGTCCAAGTTATGTAGTAGGTACATTTTAGCCGGTACTACCATAAACAGATACTGTGACACGTACAGATAAAGTTGGAGTGACACGCTTCATAGGACATCACATGATTGTTCCAACGTTACAGGTTGTGAACTTCAACGTGACACCGAATTTATTATATATATAACATTATGTTAACTTAGACATAAACCCATAGTTCTATACTAATGACTAAAGTTACTGCTCCGTAAATATGTCCACAGCCAGTTAGGATGCAATGAATCTCTTCCTGAGAATACAGAAGACAATATCGCTTAAGGAACAAAACAAACTGTTCGTCTGTTGACCCTTGATAAACAGTGTTGAAGATAATTTTACTTGTGACGGGAGCATTTTAACACAATTTTCTTAAGTAATAGATTGCAACTGTGGATGACTTACCTAGAATTGGTAAACATTACAATTTTTTTCTGTGACAGTGATCAAGAATTTTGTTATCATTGTTTAGAATGTTACAGTAAACGTACCATGATAGCACAAACAAAAAACACATTATAAAGCATTGTTAGTTCTTATTCTGCATTAAAAACCAACCACCACCAGCTTTGTTTTTAAATAGTGACTCACCGATAGATCTATGGTCAGGGTTGGTGCCATAGAATTCGTCTAGTTCCTTGGCCGAACATAATGGAGTGTCCACCTGCGTTGTCTCTTCGAACTTGGAGTAGTCCACTTCATACCCTTGACGTTCACGGTTGTATGTTACTAACGGCACAAACCTATGTCCCCACATTATTTCACTATTTGTATAACTCGAACGCGCCTGTGTTGTTTGCCCTGTTGATTCTATGGTTCCTTCCAACACAACCACGATTTCAAATCTTTCCTGCAGTACGTCAGCTGCAGATATACCGTAAAAAGGACTCTCAGCATTTATTCTATGTACCATCGTGATAGGCCAGATAAAGAAGAGATTGCTGTCACATCCGTCGGCATTCAATTGTAATTCAGTTTGGTAATGCGATAGTAACTCTCCTTCCTTAGTTGTCCTAGATCTAATTAGCTGAGCTCGCACGCAAGCCCCGATTATATGTGACTTCCTCAAATCACCGACTCGGAACATCAAACATAGTTCACTATCTCTTTGACACACTACAGCGTATTTTGAGAAAAGCAGAGTTTGTGTTCTGTGCTTTGGTCGGGTCATCTTGGCGAATACTATGCCTACCATGAAAGCTTGAATCATTACACCCACAATACTCTGAAGGCACATTATAAAGATTGCTTCCGGACATTCTTCCGTGGTTGTACGTGCACCATAACCGATCGTATGTTGTGTTTCGATACTGAACAAGAAACAAGATGTAAAATCGTGTATATTCAATACGCAAGGATTCCACCCTGAACTGTCTTGCATGGGTGGAAGATGGTTTTCTTCTAAATCACCGTGTGTAAATGCTATCAACCACCAGATAAGAGCGAAACCCAACCAGGACAAGATGAAGGAAAGTGTGAACACTAATAAGGTCCATCGCCACTGAGCGTCGACGAGAGTTGTAAACATGTCTTGAAGGAATCGTAGACGACGTTGAGATATTTTCGATTTAAGTATATTACAATCTCCATTTTTAAGTATAGCTCGTCTCCTGGTTCTTCTTGTGACACCATGCCGGTGTGAACGACTCCTGTAAAGAAATAAATAATATAAATTATAACGTCGCGCACCAATGACCGTCAATAAGTGCAAGCGTTCACACTTGCAGCGTCGGTGTAATTGCGGCCTTCGGTAATGTTAATGGCTCTGGTAATGTGAACTACTTATAAGAAATAGCTTTTCAGTGCCAATTATTTCTTATTATAACATAACTTAACATAGAACAAATATAGTAAGGCAAAAAACGGACAAAAGCAACACAGTACACTTTAGAGTCGACGACAGACGGTACAGGATGTTGGGGCACGACGAACCTCTTGCTCGTGACTGTGGGGTAGTACACGCCGGGGGAGAGGTTGCCGTTGGCGGCGACAATTTTGGCTTTGGACCAATCGTCAGGGAGGAGCTGGGCCTCCTCGCGGCAGGCGGGTGACTCAGGGTCGACGTGCATGGTGCTCGTGCGGAGTCGGCGGCGTGTGCGCGCTTCTCACACGGCGAAGCGTCTGGCCAGCATCCCCCACGAGCCGCGAGCCTCCTGAAGCATCGCACGCGATAATGGCGCGATCACGACTGTCACTCTGTGCTCGGTCGCACGAGACGCGCTAAACATTGTATAATTATATCGCGAGATTTTATACATGAAATTATCAGCTCGCCACAGAGTATGAATTTTACTTAGTGCGTATGAGTTGGTATGTAATTGCGGGCATATTTACAGGGTGCATGGAAAGTGGCAAATCACATCGATCGTATATACTTACATATATACGTTTTACAACTTGCTTAAAACAGCAGCAGGTTATTTTACAGCAGATTAGCTGTTCAGTAACTAGTTATTATTGTAACAGTGAGTTGTGGAAGCACGGAAGTTGGTTATCTAGACAATAGTTGCATTGGTTGCGTACTTATTCTTGATATCTACTCTCAGCTCGTACATATCATATAAGTGTAGCTTATCAGCAAATTATAATATCTCTCAACGCAATTGAAGATTGTTAGGCATACATTTGAGTTACGCTACCAACCTATCGACGGTCTATCAATTATTATCTTTTCTAGGATTAAATTTTTAGCAAAAATCAAAACGATTTGTCACGAAGGTATCACCTGATAAATATACCTATATTATATTTTATGACAACAGTTGTGAATAATCAACAATTTGATTCTCACCACACCCTCGGGTAAATAAGTCTAATCACGTTTTTTTGTAATTAGTAAACATGGCGACGTTTTTCCAGTTCGTGATCTAAGAATCAACGCTTTGGCGACAATGGATGTTTTTGTATATAATATACCTACGTTTATTTGTGATCATGACCATTTATGTTGTGCGCAACAATCAATATTAAAACCTTTAAATCGAGGTTAATAATGCCAAATCTATTATTTTACTTTGGGTCGGTATCTGAGAAATAACGGTTCGAAATGTCACAGGGATCATTTTGTATCTAGGTGTACAAGCGATATTTGTATTTTCCCGTATTCGAATCCGACTTAGTGCACAAGCGACATCCGAAGTGGGCCCAAGTTTTCCAGATTTGTATAGTCTTGGATTCGGAACGAATACCAATAGAAAGCAGTAATCAAATGCGCTTAGTCTTGTGAGTTTTGAATAAAGAACTTAAAAAAATAGTTCTTACGCAATGAAAACCTATTTCCTTTTCCTTTTTCTGGGGTAAACTTAGCTTTTAACGAAAGACGATCTCGATGGCTTATAAGAAAATATTTTTTTTAAATTTGTTCAAACACCCAGACTTTTGGGTAGTTCTCTCTTGTCCTTTGTCAATCAGGGAATTTCTCGTTTGGGATCAGGTAACTGCTATGATGATCTAACACATTTATTTACATTTCTATCATAAATAGACTGTGACTAGTGTACATACAGACATAGATTATTTATTTTGTGGCACGTCTTACTTAGGTCCTGCTTAGGTTCTGTACTGAGGAACAAGGACGACAACAATGGCTATCCACACGACAATCATGCACTTATTCGAGTTAGCGCGTGTCGAGCTCGAGTGGGACAGCTCTCAATTATGGGCACGTGGAACACGCATAATGCTACACTTTAATGCTATATTAAACCTTTACTTTAAATACAGTTTACTAAAAAACAGTAATACTGGCATGGGATCCAAAGCCCAATTACATAATCGCATCTCTACCTATAGAACTTTAGAGTAACATTTATTTTTAGAATAATTTTTTTTTTTTAATATTTATATTTATTATTATTAATTTATTTTTTGTTATTATTTCCAATAAACTCATTACTATTTAGTCGCCAATTAAGACGACATTTATTGTAATAGGTACTAGATGTTCCTCGCAGTTACATTTTGGTACTTACTACCTATGCGATTGATTGTAATATAATTTATTATAAACGATGTAACTGTATATAACGTATATATAACGTGTATATAACGTAGAATATTTTTTAAGTAAATCTAAGCATCGCAACTGTGAAATTTTCTTTAAATTTTGTGCAAGCATGATGTTCGAAAGCAAATGATAATTTTTACAAAAATTCTAATTTTTGGCGTCTCTTAATGATATTAAAATGTCTCAATTTTCTTTTTCAATATTTTTAATGCACGAATGTGCCATGCGTATATGCAGTTTTATTTTATCTATAGATACAAATTGTGTCTTTGTTCTATATTATCAGTACCTATGTGTAATAAAAAAAATAAGATTAATACTAAAAGCCAAATTGTAGCGTGCAATTTTGCATCTATTAATAACTATAGCTTTTTACAAAAGCTGATATTTACATGCAGAACTTATAAAATTACATCGTAACCGGCCGGTGTATTGTATGCAATCAAAGACATAGAAGCCTTTTATCAGAAAGTTCGTTTGAGCGGCAGTGGAAAGGTCCCTTGTATGGGCTGTAATTAATCAAGATTATCTGGACATATACCAGTGTTTGCAGATTTTAATTGGATTTGGCAGCTTAACTGCGTATTATGCTGCTGGAAAGAGGTGACTCTAATTGGGGACCTTGAAGTTATGAGAAATTAGGTAAGATTATTTTCGTCTTTACAGATTAAATTGATGGTTTAGTGACTAGAGATAATAAGAGCAGCTAATAAAGTGATTAAACGTACTTAACGTGGTTTAAAAGTACCTAGAAACGAATATTAGGCAGAGTTAACTGTTCAGTAAACATAAATCGGCGAACGTGTATCGAAAATTTTGTTACTTAATTCTAGACATAAATTTAAATTGTTGTTGTGGAAATTGATAGCCAAATAATTTTGGTGGTGCTATTTTGTATTCTTTCCTATCACTATTAAATTGTATTTTTACGGTTAGTAAGAATTTATGAGGTAAAATAATAAACAAAGATCTCTCAACACATACCTGTTTTCAGTCTCCAACGACTTTAAACAAAACCAGAACAAACTTGGTCAACACTGATAATATCTCTTATCATTCTATTATTTACGCCTACGACGCATTTTAAGACACTTTTCACCACATTTCTTTACAAAATGGAATTAAATAAAAATTAAGTTTATAGTATACAAATTTTGTTTTTTTTTACATCGATATCTTCACTACGTTTGTCAAACTTAATACTTAACTAGGAACCGTTATAAACGGAGAAAGAGATGTGTACCGTGTGGTGCTATTATATGGCGAATACCTAAACACCACTATGTATTTTTGATATATTATTATTTATCTTTTTGTTCCACTGATTAGATATCGGTTCCTCAAGGATTGAATCATTCAAGTTGAAAGTAGCTCCACGTACATACGTACTTATTTATATATCACTTACTACCTATTGATATAACGACTCACGTAAAATGAAAATCCAAGATATCTAATCGCCAAGGTAGTCACTTTGTTCAAATGGCAAAAAGAGATTTTGCATATTTGTTCAATTTTTTATCAGTAGATACAATTATAATGAAATAACATTTACAAATGTAAACAGGTAAAGTATATTACAGAATCGTCATCTTGCTATAGTCAATGCTAGTTGGTCCAAAGGGCTATTTCATTTTTTATTTCATACGAATACAGCGACTATGCTAAGCTCAAAAGCTTTACACCGTCTCTAACATTTAAATAATAGTTGTATCAACATATCGAGTTCTTATGTTTTCGCGATTGTTATACATTGGGAATGAACCTATCTTTTCGGATCTAAATCGCGTATGCACAATATTTGTGTTCTCAATTAAACCCACATTTCCGACTTTTTACGTTGCGGGCCTTAGCCGGAAAGAACTCGCGCGGTCCATAAATAACAAACTTTCCGTGTTTGTTTTTTGAAAGTAACAAATATTTCCGAGTATGTTAGGGAAAAGTACCTTTTTTTTATTTACCGAAGAACGTTGCAATTTACGTATGTTTTGCAAAGTATTTTATTTCTTGTTTATGGTTTTTTCGTAAAAACAAATGTACTCGATTTAGATCCGAAAAAATTGTTCATTTTCAAGAGGTAGGATAACTCACCTGCATGAATCCGGTCGATATACAGTGCTCTGTCCAATGGAACTTGCATACGTTGGTATCCTGTGTAAGCTACTCGAAGGATGTATCGTCAATGGAGGTCTAAGGTATCCGCCACTCATTAGCCCGCTCAACATGGGCCCCCCTGCAGGACTGCCAAGCATGGGGGTCTCTACCATTGAGCTGTCATATGCACTAGTCTCATCGGTTTCTTCTTCTATGACGCCAGGTTTGTAAAAAATTTTTCCAGCAGATAGTTTAGGCTTGTCTTTATCCCTCGGTTCCTCTTCGGAGCGAACTTCCATTTCGAACGTTTGGCTCTCCGCCATTTGCTAATTCGTTTTTTCACAACGGTTTCAATAGTCTGGAAGCCATAGTTTTGAATCGAGCACTCATGTCTTGTTTGATTTAGACTTATGCTGTGATGGTGCATTCTGAAAACAATTACATTAAACATTGATGTATTTTATATTAAGTATAAAATATATTTTGGCTAGAATGTTGAAATAGTGCTGGTCGAGGTCCGTGAACAATGGCCAAGGAGTGATGGGCACATTGACTACCCCTACCCCATCTGGGTACTGGAAAAAAAATGTGATAGCCAAATCAATTAACTGGTCTCAACCTAGGGAATTCTCTGAACCAAGAGTACCAGAACAACGGAATTCACTCCGGGGCATAGCCCAGAATATCCCGATCAAACCAAATTAGCAAATGTACGTGGGGCGCACTATAAGTTTCCGGAATGAATAAAAAAAATACTATAAATGGCATTGACTTACAAATAAATGGACGACGGGTCTAATACAAAAACCACGAAAAAAATGTCCCAAGTCAACCTATTCGAAATTTAAATTGTTATGTCATCGCAGTATCGCGCTGTCCGTAGAACAAATGAAGACTAAAGCGGAGTGTCGCGCTCTGTATACGATTTTAGCGCCTTACAAGTGCGGACACTTTTTAGCGCGGACCCGACGTCCATATAATTGTAAGTCAATGATAAATGGTCAGAAATGAATTTATTGTTTCTCAAAATATTCTCCGTTAGCGTTAATGCACTTTTTCATGTGAATGAACCAATTTTGAAAATATTTATGCCACTCCTCCGTGACAATCTGTGAAACATATTTTTCATACTCTTCGACAACCTCTTCAAGTGATGAAAATCGTTGACCGCGTAACTGGTTCTTAATTTTTGGAAATAAATACAAGTCACAATGTGCCATGTCGAGACTGTACGCGTGATGGCTCATAAGGTCAATGTTGTTCACCTTCAAAAATTCATTTGCCTGTCTGGCCATGTGAGAACTGGCATTATCGTGGTGCAAGACGATACGGCGTTTACGGTTATTTTTACGGAGTTTGTCAATAACTTCCGGCAAACAAAAGGTCGTGTACCAATCACTATTCACGGTACAATGATTCTCCAAAGCAACAGTAGCCACGTGTCCAGTTTTATCAAAAAAAGAAGCAATCATCCGCTTAGAGGCACTTTGCACGCGCGCCACTTTCGTTGGTTTCGGCTCATCTCGAAAGACCCATACGCTCGATTGCGGCTTTGTTTTGGGATCATCATTATAAATCCAAGTTTCGTCACCTGTTACTATGTCGCACAACAAATTTGACGCCCCTTCGTTGAACCTAGTGACCATGGCATTGGTTCTTAATTTTTGGAAATAAATAAAAGTCACAATGTGCCAGGTCGAGACTGTACGCGTGATGGCTCATAAGGTCAATGTTGTTCACCTTCAAAAATTCATTTGTCTGTCTGGCCATGTGAGAACTGGCATTATAGTGGTGCAAGACGATACGGCGTTTACGGTTATTTTTACGGAGTTTGTCAATAAGTTCCGGCAAACAAATGGTCGTGTACCAATCACTATTCACGGTACAATGATTCTCCAAAGCAACAGTAGCCACGTGTCCAGTTTTATCAAAAAAAGAAGTAATCATCCGCTTAGAGGCACTTTGCACGCGCGCCGCTTTCGTTGGTTTCGGCTCATCTCGAAAGACCCATACGCTCGATTGCGGCTTTGTTTTGGGATCGTCATTATAAATCCAAGTTTCGTCACCTGTTACTATGTCGCACAATAAATTTGACGCCCCTTCGTTGAATCTACTGACCATGGCATTGCACCAAGTGACGCGAGCCATTTTTTGAGCCTCAGTCAAATTGTGTGAGATCCACCGAGAACACAGCTTTTTCACACCCAAATGTTTGTGTAGTATTGATTGTATTTGACTCATGCCTATGCCTAAAGATGCCCGAATCTCATGGTATGTAACATGCCTTTCTGCTTTGGCCATACGGCGCACAGCATCAATGTTTTTGTTGTTCAAAGCAGTTTGAAGCCGAGCGAAGCTCCGCTAAGCTGTTCAATTACACTTAAAGTCGGGGAAAATCATACTACGAAAATTTCACGAATTAAATCCATGGTAATGTAGACAACCAATTTTTAAAATGACGCCACTATGTAAAAACAACGTGACAGTCACATGAAACAAGCTGTATTCTACAGCCAAAGAGTTCCATTTTCAAATGTTGTAATTACTTTTTAAATATTGTTTATGTAAGTGGCCAGTTCCGGAAACTTATAGTGCGCCCTATGTAATTTCAGAAATTGGGCGTACCGAGAATCGAAACCGGGACCTTCTTATTGAGCACCCACAGAGCAAACCATTGGACCACCGAGATAGTCAAAAAAGACGGAAACGACGTTTTTTGAAAGAGGAGTTGAGAGATCAGTGCCTCTACTGTGACACTTATCGACAGCAACCGCATAAAATATTTGTATTCACAATGTACTTTCTTTTTGTGACCACTAGGGGCGCTGTATAATTTATCATACAAAATTAAAAAGTAATTTACGTGGTTGCTAGCGACAACTGTCACAGTAGTCTCATGGTAGATGCACTGTTGTATGAGTTTAAAAAGGATTGGGAATAATACGCCAGCAATATAGATAAAGCAGAAAGATGAGGCCATTACCGAGCAGCGGGCTGTAAAGGTTCAAAAAAATGTCAAAGTAAATAATTGTAAAGAGTAATAATAATAAAGTAGGTAGTAAAGTGTATCTAGAAAAAGCGTAAAAATAACCTAGGTAATGAGTGTTGTCTCTTGCGGCATTTTAATTTACTATTACCATGATAAACCACACTTTGAATGTTATATACTCGTTTATACTATTTTGGGTATTATATATTGCGTTTTCTTATAATTATGAAATTGTATCAAAATCTGGTGAATACAAAAGTCTTAACGACTTCGCAAGTGTTTCTTTTTTATAACGATAAAATCACATAGGTAATCACTTAAAGATAAATTGTAGTTAGCGACTAGCAGAACAAACAGTACCAGTTAGTGACTAGCAATGCAAACAATTAGAAAAAATAACGCCATCTCTTGTGGAGTAGTCGAACTTAATTAAGGCAATATGTTTCTCTACAAATATTTTTCAAAAAATTCAAATACCATTTCACAAGTATATAGGTACGAAAAATATAATTTACAATTTGTTATATTTTACTTTCACTGGATTTAAAATGTAAAAACTTTAGAATTAAATATTCTACATAAGAATGTATATAATATTAGAATATTACATAAGTATGCAAGTACACAAACTTTTCTCTAATAAATGCTTAGAAACATACTTTCCAAACAACGTCCTTGCACTCATTAGGATGTGCTCGATCTCCATACTTTATGCTGTTAACGCCCCAAGCGGATGTCTTTATATTCCTCCCACGATACTACATTGCGCTAAGCATCCTGAAATCTCGTGGATCTAGGAAGAGGAAAGGAAGAAGTTTGTTTACTTCAATCTTGGAAAATAAGGACATGGTCAAATGATTCTACTCCAAATAACTTTTAACCAAGGAGTTTTCACAACAATGCGTTATGTAGGGCAACGCTCTACTTGTTTAATTCAATGATTTTTCCTTCTCTTTTTCATTGTATGGATGGCGTTTTTTAATTTGAATTGTTTAAAAAAATATATTAACAATTTTATTTGTATTTTTGTGAGAAATAGTGGCTTATA